GCCGGGGGGGGGGGGGGGAATGCCTTGATGAGTTTCGGCTTGTTATGTAAGCCGTATGTGGCCCTTTCATGTGCTTTCATTCTAGGTTTGACAGTCATTCTTAGAGCTGACATGTTCTTTTGCTTTCTAACTTATGAAGGACTCCAAGTTGGATGTCACTATTGGCCCGTATGAAACTTATGAAGATGCACTTTTTGGATACAAGGTATCAACAAATTTTGAAACTCAACCCTTGCTTACAATTTCTACTGTGATTCTAATTTTCTGCCTTGATCCGGAATGCTCAAGCTAACTATTTGGTGTAGTACCACATTGGCTTACCTGTTTGATAATGAGGGTCAAACATCATGCAGTATCATTCACAGATTTCTATTTCTGATTATTAAAATTACAGTTCTCAAATAGCACCTCAACTTGATCAGAATGTACGTTTTAAACACCTTCACTCCATGTGTTTCTCACTTGTCCTGACATGAATAACATAAACACGTCAGATAAATCACTTCATAGCATCACCATGTTTATTATTCTCTAGCTCTTTTTTTCTGAGATAAAATCTACCAAGAACCCTCCATTAAGAATAAAAGAAAGGAAAAAGATTGAAGTAATTAAGGGTGTGTTTGGTATGATAGAAAAATACATTGCTCCATTTTTTTTGAAAAATAAGTAGTAGTTCAGCTGGTTTTCGAATGCTGGCCAAGATTGAGATATTAAAATCATTATCAAAAAACTGATCTCATATTCTTGATTTGTTCGGTTGATTAGTGAACTGGAAACATATATAAATGAAAGGTGCATTATTCCACTTAATATCGTCTCTAGTCGCAGATACAGTACTTAATATATATAAATTTGATGATCACTGCTTGCTACATGCATTTTCCTCTGTGGGAGTCGCATATACTATACTTTGCCTTTGACTTAGTTTTCTTTCGGGAAGCTCACTCTATTTAGAATCTTGTGGAACTCGACATTGTGTAGCCATTCTACAGTTGATGTATCCTAGACAGTATCCATGTAGCAGCTCATTTGCCAGAGTTTTCGAAATGACCGAGTTAGCGAAATTTGGCATGGCCCAACCTTCTGGATCTGTTTGATTGATTAGCTCATTACATAAAGTAGCTTGTAACTGATGGATCCTTTTCGTAATGTCCAGCACGATCCTAGTGCTTGGCTCCTTTTGATATTAATGAAAATCTTTTGCTTGCTGACAATAAATTGTTATTGGAAATGTGGACCTTGTACATTTTTCTTATGATACATGTAGCTAATGTTATCTTATCTGCTAGGCAACATTTGAGGCATTTATAGGAGTCCGTGATGACGAAGCAACAGCTCAACTCAAATTGTTTGGTGATCAGCTGCAGGTGCCTATAGACCTCCCATGCTAGATCAGCTTTGGCTCCATAATTTCTTTATTTCTTCTGTTCCTTGCTGAAAATAAGCTATTCTAGGTTTTGGAGAAGAATCTTCCTCTGGACGATATTTACAAGTCAGAAAATGTTACAGCTGCCCCCATCCGGGTTATTCAGCTTCTTTACAATGCAGGGGTGAGTCTCTATTATTACATTTTCTTTTAAATCTTTTTTTTCTCCTTATGCAACTCATCTAAAAGCACATGTTTTCTTATCTTTATCTCACAAGAACTGCATTTTTAGGAAGAAAATATCAGATAAAAGTCTTACATATGTACTGTGAGTTTGTGTCTGTGATTGTGTACTCCAAGGCTTCACAAAGTAAGATATTTTTCCAAGATTATGGGATTACCTTCTTCTGAGTAAATCTTGTGACCTCTGCTCTTTTGCTGGATGAGGTGGAACAATATTGCACACTGTTAGGACTGAAGAAAGGGAGAAAAGCACTGAAGACTTAGGGATGGAAAGGAGGGAGGGATAAATTTTATCTTATTTTGTTTTATTTTTGTTGTATCTAATATCAAGCTTTTCCCATATAAAAGTGGGTAGAAATGGAGGGGAAGGATACCTTTACTGATTGTTAGAGTGGGCTAAAATCCCACAATTGTTTGGGGAATGGACTGGTGGTCTGCTTATATGGACTTGGGCAATCCTCCCCTCATGAGCTAGCTTTTGAGGTTGAGTTTGGTTCAGTTGTCATATCTTTACATGGTATCAGTGCCAGGTTTATCCTCGTTTGGGCTCCCGGTCCATGTCTGGACTTTCCAAAGGCGAATGGCACTGATCTATTTAACTCCACTTAAAAAAGAAATAGGCTGAAAATTGTTCTCCTCGATTTCTTCTATAGTTGGATTTCTTTCCTTGAAATTTAGAGTCAAGATTGTTTCTTTTACTAAAATGTCTGTAAACCAGGTGCTGAAATGGGAACAATGTAACATATACTTGGATCAGGAACTTCCAAGCTAACCCAATGTATAACATATATTTTGTTTGACAAGTTGCAAATTGTTGTTTTGACTGCACATGAAGTGAGTGTTAGCCTTATACGGACTGATGCTCATTTTTTTTAAAAAAAAGCATTGTTCTCGGTTCTTAGTTCTTACCAACAATTCAGCACAGCCAGTTCCTGCTTGGCACCTTATTCCTTTCTTTGTGAAAATCACACTATACCAAAGTAGGAACAAAGACCAATATATAGGCCACTTCAGGTTACAACAACAACAACATGCCCAGTGTAGTCCCACAAAGTGGGGTCTCTGGAGAGGGTAGAGTGTACACAGATTTTATCCCTTCTTTAGAGGTAGAGAGGCTTTATCCAATAGACCCTTGGCTCAAGGAAAAACAGTCCAGAAAAAAGAAGTATTGGGAGTACAAAAAACATCAGATAATAACAGAAACTACAGATAGTAACAGAACAGAAACTACAATACGATAATCGAGGTACCAGGAAAATAGATCATTTCAGGTTACAACAACAACATACCCAGTATAGTCCCACAAAGTGGGTCTGGGAGGGTAGAGTGTACGCAGACCTTACCTCTACCTCATATGTAGAGAGGTTGTTTATGATAGACCCTCGGCTCAAGAAAAAATAGTCCAAAGCAATCCAAAAAAGAATAAACGAGGTGAAAGCATCACAAAGCAGGTAGAGAGGTTGTTTATGATAGACCCTCGGCTCAAGAAAAAATAGTCCAAAGCAATCCAAAAAAGAATAAACGAGGTGAAAGCATCACAAAGCATACTGAACAGTAACTACAAGCAAATATTACAATAATCCAAGTACTCCTTTCTTTGGCAGGATGTGAAGGGCCCTCAAACAGTCGCATTTAATCTTCCTAATGATGAAAGAATAGTAAAAGATCGAGGAACATCCATGGTCATGCTTAAGAATGTTTCAGAAGCAAAGTACGAACTCATTTTCCTCCCCTTCCTGTGATTTGCTAAGTCACTTATCAAACAAACAGTTTTAGGTACCTGTGACATGCTTATATAATGTACTTCCTCTGGTTCTTTGATCAGGTTCAAGCTTATCCTTAAGCCTATAGCTAATGTGTGTATTATGGAAGAACAACGAGAGCTTGTGGACTTTGACTCTTTCTTTACTCACACAATTTGTCACGAATGCTGCCATGGAATCGGGCCTCACACAATCACACTTCCGAATGGGCAGAAGTCGACAGTCAGATTAGTCAGTTTTAACTGTGCTTTATTTCTCCAAATTTATGTCCTTATTCATCTAATTGTTGTTTAAAGAATCAGATTCCATCTCATTGCTTCTAGACAGATTTTTTTTTCCTTCAAATATTGTCTTTTCATCTGTTCTCATATCATTTTGACATAAGATTCTCCTGTACCTTATTATATAGGAGCTGCAAGAACTTCATTCATCACTAGAAGAAGCTAAGGCAGATATTGTTGGGCTTTGGGCGCTTAGGTTTCTAATGGATAAGGTAAGAAACTAAATGACGGCTGATTAAGAACAGTTCACTCTTGCATATGGAGTTACAATTTTGCTTCGGGACTAGCTGATTTACATTGCTTTTCTTAGTTTTTATATCTGTTTTTGTGTTTCAATGAGGAAAATTTACTTTAGGCTTTGTTTCTTGGGGAGAGAAATAGAATATCGTGGTTTACCTCTTTAAAAATGTAACCTTAACCAGTTGGGCTTTTTGTTCAAATTATGTTTTCTTGGAGTCCTAAATAGAAGATGGATCTGATCGGCATACCGGATTTTGTGTGGCAACAAAAGTTTTACAACAGGTTGAAGCTAATCTGCATATAAGATATCAGTAATATACTTAATGGTTGTTTTAAAATCTGTCAGGGAAATCAAGTTGTATGATTATCTAGTTACTTAAAGAAATATGTGTAGCTTATGTTTTAGAAGGTCTCCATATGGATTGCATCTTTATGAGAGAGACTTTTGCCTCTGTTTACGCAGCACATGGACCCTCCAACAAAGCCTAGTTTGTCCAATCCTTATTGAAACCAAGTAATTGATCTTTTTTTTTTAAGCTGGTAAGTTTGTATAAATCAGCATTTAAGGAAATGCTGGCTACCTCAAAAGAACTCCGTATCAGATCTATAATCTGCTCAGAATCCTCTATACATTACTGTTTACACCAAAAAAGTAGAGATACAATACAATTTCAGTTAACTTTGTGAATGGAATTGGACCTATCTTCAACCATTTCTCTCCCTCCATACTGACCACCATATACATGAAGGAATCAGTCTCCACCATCTCTTCTGGCTCTTACTCCCCCCCTTATTATCCAGCAGCTAAGAAGGTCTGATGTATGCTCAGGCATGGTCCAGCTATTGCCTGTGATGTTGAGAAACTAATTCCACAGCTGAGCAGCATACTTGCAGTGCAAAAAAAGGTGCTTGTTTGTCTCCTCAGTCACCATACACAGAAAACACCTAGAAACGAGTTGTCTCTTCTCTTCCTCTGTAGCACTTCTTGCGTTAGGCAAGCACTTTTTATAACCAACCAAGTGAAGCACTTTACTTTGGTAGGAATGTTTCTTTTCCGAAAGTAGTTCCACTTGAACTGATCATTCTCATTAGTCACCTGAAGGCCTCTTTACAGACAATATCCCATTTCTATTGTGTTTCCAAAGAGCTCTATTAGCCTCTGTATTAGTGATAAAAACTTGCCCTACTTTCCCCAGTATAAGGGCTACACTCTCTATCTCTCAATCATTTAGAAGCCCCCTAAAAGGGATATCCTACCCCTGTGTGGACCAGCACTCCTAGACTGTCACCTCAGGAATTAGACAAATAAGAAATAGGTCAGGGAATGCCTCCTTTAGAGGAGTTTGTTCATTCCACCTATCTCTCCAAAATTTTATCCTTGCACCATTGCCAACCTTGAGGCAGATTTGTCTTCCATTGATTACCATAAGTTCCTAATAATTCTTCACACTCCCGCTCCACAGGTATCAATTACCATTTCTGTGCACCAGGGGCTAGCTTTACCATACTGTCACAATGACTTCCTTCCACAGTGCCCTGTCCTCAGTGGTGTACTGTGTGCTTGAGAATTTATTAATGAGGTCTTCAATTCTACCTGCTAGATTCTCCCAACCTTCATTAAATTTAGTCTCTGGTTCTATGATGACTGTTCTGCTGAGCCCTTCAACTGTAATAATGAGATAACCATATTTATTGAACTTTTGGGTGCAATAAGTATAGGTGGTGATGTCCTTGCATCTCCATGACTTGAAACTCTTTCCCCTATTTGCTGAAGCTTCATGGAGCCTCTTACATAGCCATAACAGAGCACCTCTGCTGAGGATCAGTCTTTCTCATAGAGAGTTTCGAACTCTCCACCCAATCAAACCATACCCCCATCGCTGTAGAAGAGGCAGTTATGTCATAAGACTTCCCCCCATTCTGAAGAAAATGCTATTTTCCATCTCAGACCAGAAAGAAAGAAACGAGGTAAAAAGGAAGAAAAATGATGGATCTCCAATGGTGTAAGACCCCTGTAGTAGATTCAAAAGCCCGAAAGGGACTTCAAACTTTCAACCTTGGGACTCGTGCCTGAGAGCATCCTTTTTCATTATGGCAGATTTATTAACATTGTGACAGTCCCTAACAAGTAAGAGATCTGTTATGCATGTACATACTAAGAAAATCACGTTTTTCTCTCGGATGAGCTTCTAATGGTTCGTAAAAGTTTTTAGCCTCGTCACTTTTTTTGGGCTCCTTTCCTGCCCTAACTTATTCTTTTGGTAAATTTACAATGCTGAGTTTTGAAAGTATCTTGTTGCCTTTTCTAGTCTTCGCAAGGAGATGGGGATCATCAGAAACTGGAAGATTGTATTCAACCGAACAATAATTAGTGTATGAACCTGTTAGAATATCACTTCTTAGAGGATTTTTTAATGTTCTATTTAGCTATCTTATTGCCTTTCCATGTACAAACTTGTGGCAATTATATGTGATTTGGCTGGCTGAAGGTTACTAGTAGAAGTTCACAAGATCTTTCAATTTGAGAATGAATACCACTATACCAGTGTTACATTCCTTGTGTCCCTTGTGATAATCAAAATCAAAAGACAATGATCTTTGTTCTTATATGGCTCAGGATTTGCTTCCAAAGAGCCTGGCCAAGTCAATGTATGTCTCTTTTCTTGCTGGATGTTTCCGCTCAGTACGCTTTGGATTAGAGGAAACTCATGGGTAGGCATTGTTGTCAATTTGTTATCCTCATTAGTCTTTAACCTTCCACATTGTCTGCTCTCAGTAGCCTTTAATTTTTCAAACACAATCAGGAAAGGACAGGCATTGCAGTTTAATTATCTTTTCGAGAAAGGCGCATTTATTTTGCATCCCGATGAAACATTTGGTGTTGATTTTGAAAAGGTACGAGATCATGAGAATCGCTATTTCATAGTTCACTTGATTCTTTCAATGAAGTCACTGTTTGCTTCTATTCAAAGGTTGAAGATAGTGTTGCGAGCTTAAGCAGAGAAATTCTGACAATACAAGCAAGAGGCGACAAAGAAGCTGCTAAAACACTTCTTCAGAAATATGGTGTGATGACACCACCACTGAAACGCGCACTGGAAAAGCTGGAGACTGTTCAGGTATAATCCCTCTTTGTTATCACCAATAGCTGTTCTAGTAATTGAATGCCGAGGCCCGAGTGCAATTGGCCTAAAATTACTTTTGTCTAATTTCTGACATTTAAGTTTCGGGTGCCTTTATACTATCTATTTCAATATTTTAATAATGTGGTGTTTTTTTTATAATGGTAACATAAGTAGTGTGGTGTTAAAGAATGGAGATTTGACCTAGATGGGCATTTGCCAATGAAAAATCATGATCTGTGTATTAAGCATATAATCGTACCCATTGAAAGGTAAATAGCCCGACCTTATCATTGAGTGTCTTCCGTGTTCTCAAGCAGCTAAACTCCAAGGATTAGTTTTAGATGGAGTATTGCTACTATTTGCAACGTAACATATCATCATAAGAGGCCGTAAACTGAGGCGGCACAATGCAATTTGTGATCTTAAATCAACCTTTATAAGAGACCTTGAACAAACTTAATAAAATTCATGTATTAATGAGAGGAAGGACTTGCTTTGTGATCTACAGATCAATCAAATGGGACAACGAGAAATAGCTGAGGAAACTGAGTTGCATTTAGGGTGTGTTCGATATGGAGGAAAACATTTTCTGGAAAATGCTTTTTGATTTTTCCATGTTCGGTTGGTCAAAATATTTGGAAAATATTTTCTCTAGGAAAATAAGTTTCTTAAAAATGAGGAAAATGACTTCCTAAATGAAAGTAGGGAAAACAAGTTCTACAAGTGATAATCCACATTAATTGTGTCCTCCCGACCCTCCAACACACCTCATCTTCACCCCCACCCTCACCCCCATAATCCCCATCCCCACCACGTAGTATGTCTTGATTATATACAAATGCCCTCAGAGCTCCCCCAGATAAATTTCCTGCTCTTCCTGTCTACTTCTTTAATCACACTTTGAGGCAGAATATACACAGCCTGCCAAAAGTTGTGAATAGAGAAGAGCGCAGCACTAATAATTTGTAATCTTCCAATATAAGAAAGATGTCTAGAGTAACCATTGTTAATCCTGCCTGTAATTTTGTCTACCAGCATATGACACTCCACCTTATTCTACTAGTTGGAGGATACAGTAAGTCCTGGATATCTATTAGGCAAAGAGCCTAAAGAGATACCTGTACTGCTCAGTATCCTTGGGTTACCTCATTAATACCTGCTAGGAAGAAACTTGACTTGTCCAGATTAGCCACAAGTCCAGAACCATCACTTAAGTGATTAGTTACCTCCATGATTCTGTAACTGTTGATAGAAGATAGATTCTCTTTACAAAATAGCATCAAATCATCAGCAATAATTAGGTGTGTATGCCTAGTAGTTTTGCACATTGGATGGAACTGGAAATCTGGCAGATCACCTCATTTTCCTGAGGGCTCTAATCAAGTACTCCATTTACTAGCACAAAGGGCAGAGGAGACATAGGGTCCCTTGCTAAATGCCTCTCTTCCCCTCAAAATAGTCTTGCCCCTCTCCATTCACTTTAACAGTGAACTTAGTAGAAGTAATTAGAAACCTTTTGTTAACATTTATGCAAATTGTGTTTGTGTTTTTTGTGTGTGTCATAGTAATTTGAGGCTTAAAGCAAGGGCTCCAATGCCCTTGCCTTATAGACGGCCCTGGATAGAGTAAATATTGTGATAGAATATATAAAGAGTAGCTGTTTTCTACTTGCGTCAACAAATTTCCTGTTCTGTGATTTGGTGCCTCAATGCAATGCCAAAATCTTGGTTCAAGCCTTTAACATGTATAGTTTGCATGATAATAGGGAATCAACTGAACAGTCTTAAGATCTTTTTTTTACCTTATAAAAAAAAAATATTGTTCCTAGACTGACTATTGATTGTGATTCAATTTTGTATGATCTGATTATTCTATTTGAACTTATGTACTTCTCATTGGAAATTTTTGAAGGTTCTGTTTCATTAGTTCCTCTTAATTTTCAGGTTCCGGTGGATATAGTTCCTGATTTTTCCATTGCTAACCAAATTTTACGCGATATCAATTGAAGACACTCGTGTTCCACCACACCTTCCTTTTATCATGGAAGAGTCGCTAAAGGACACACCCCTTCCTTCCTGTTGGCCCTCACAGCAAATGTAATTTTCAAGGAAAAGATCAGTTCTGTGATAGATGGTGACTCCTCAGCCTGCTTCTGTCTATGTTGTTTCCATGTCTAATGCACACTCCAAAACTAGTACTGTGTGAATTCATTTGCAATGTTTTATTTCCAAAATATTGGACGTCATATTCTTCTCTCATCGTACTGTGTAGACAACGACACACCCCTCTTTCCTGTTGGTCCTAACATCAAAATAATCTTCGATGACTTCATACTTGTATCGTATTCATGAGTAACGATGAATAGTGACTCCTTGAATGAATGTTGTTGTTTCCATGTCTGATGCAATCTTGAAATTCCAGTGAATGCAGAATTGATTTATCATCAATTTGTTTACAATGTTTATGGCCTTAGACCAAGCTCAGACATAAGGTGTTTTCTTGTTTTAAGTAATGCATGAGATTTTATTATTATCAATAATCAAAATCAAAATACTTATAATAAATGTTTATTCTTTTGTTTAACCTATTCAAATTTCTGAAGCTATTGCTTTTTTATCAAATAGCAAGTTCAAGGCAATTATTAACTCCTTTTTTTTTTCTTTACATATTTTCGCTCCCCAATAAATAATTACAGCCGTAAGCTAATATACACAAATTATATATTTATTTATGATTTACTTATTATTTTAGTGGATGACTATATAATATGAATTTTTTTTATAGTAAAATACGGGGCAGAGCCATATCATGTATTTTATCTATTGGAAAATTCATGAAAATTAAAAACAAAATTAATTAATTAATTGAAAAAAATTAATTCCTGCCTAATGGCTGCAATTTACGCACTAAACGAATCGTTCTTTACCGATCCAACATATTCGGATCCTACCCGACCCGATATCTTCTCTCGCTAAGCAAATTTCCAAAATCTTTTTTTTTCCAATCCATGAAACCTCGATTCAATCTACGGCGTATATTGGCCGACGTTATACGGTCACCGGCGTTCATTCTCCGGTCATATAAGCATATTGATATCTGTGTATGGACTAGGTTGAGTTAAAGCTTAAATCATGGCAATCTTCGACGATGAAGATGAACCACTTGTTCAATTTCTTGAATCGGAGATCTTCACTCTCTCCGATCAGGTATATTATCGGAATCTCTACATTCTGATTCTACCATTAGTTATAAGAATTGTTTTTTGGATAATTAATTGTAGAAATAGAATTTTCCGGATCGGTATGAGCTTCCTTATATTGTTTCTCTATGATAGGGTTCTTGAGCTAAGAAGAAGAACGGAAATTAATTGGGTACTTGAGAGAAATTAGTGGATCTGGTTAATTTCCTTATTTTAATTACCAAGAGAAAAGGGAAGAAAGAAAGACTTGATTGTTCAGCTGAAATTAAGTTTCTTAAGAGGAAAATATGATGGAATAGAAGATATAGGGCTGAGCCTGGATTATTTCCCCTTTGTTGTTTTCATCTATAATTACAAAAGAGAGATAAAGATGAGTATGAAATTGGTACATATTAAACGTGAGGAAGATCCTATTCATTTGTTAATTTCCAGCTGCTAGTAAAACACATCAGGAAAATTATGATCTTTTTACGGTTTTTGTGTTTTACTGAATTGGTTTCAAGATATTCTCTTTCTCTTTGTTGTTTTGACAGCCATGAATTGAGGAAAATGGTTATTTTCTGTGGGGAAAATTTGGTAAAAGGGTGACCGATCATGTGCTACGAGAGTACTAGGTGCATCTGCACCGTGCATGGGCAGACGTGTTTTTTCTGGGGGAAATATCTGTCACTTCTTGTGTTCTTCTCGTGGGGGGAGTTGGAGGATATTTCATTTCATTCATTTCGTATTTATGTGTGCATCTGATCTTTTGGTACAAGCTATATGCACTTAATTAGAACTTGATAATCAATTCTTCTGTTTCAGGATGAAGAGATCGTAGAGGATATCATGGACGAAGGTGATGTAAAGAGGAAAGGTAAGCGCCTTAAAGTTGAAGATGGTAACGATGGATTTGAAGGAGAGGAGGAGCGAGTAACAAAGAAAATGAGAGTTCTGGAGGATGAGGATGAGTCTGAGTATGAGGATGAGATTGAGGGAAAGGAGAAGAGGGAACAAGATGAGGAGGAGGAGGAAGAGAAGAGGGAAGCAAAGGTAATGAAAATTGAGGAGGAGGAGGAAGACGAGGAGGAAAAGGTGAAGGCATTACTATCATCTCCATCTTTGTCAGCACCAGCTGAAGTTGAATGTGCATCCTCACCTCCAAGGATGAGTCAGAGTGTCATGGATAATAATAACAGTGTTGCTTATATAAGCGACAACATGAGGCAGGTCCCAAGTAGAATAGAGACGGGGATTCTCAGCAAAGTCCCTCCAGAATTGCTCCGTCACATCCTCAAGTTCCTCTCACCAGAGGTATCACGTTATTTTTTCTGTTAATTATTTTTTAGCTTTTCTATACTGCTTGTCAAAATATTTGCATTTGCAAACAAGGAGAACAGATAGGGAGTGGAGGGCTAGATCCATTTGTGGTTTTGATGTGCATTTCTTTTCTGATTTTCTGTTGTCTAAACCTTTTGTCTGTTCTTTGGTAAATCTGTCAGGATCTTGTGGCATGTACAATGGTCTGCAAGTTTTTAAATTTTGCTGCTTCTGATGAATCCTTGTGGCGCTGGCTGTAAGTATTCTGCACCTTGTGTCTGTTCCCATTGTCTCCTCTTTTCCCATCTCCCTCTAAATGGATGCGTGCTTTGTTTTTGATAAGGTAAATAGTTTATTAATGATGGGAAAATACTATATAAAAGCTGTATACCAAAAACGAGAGAACCTACAACAAAAGTATGGTTCTCTACGAAAAAACACTAATCCTCCATACACATGGGTACCACATAGGTGCACCAAAAAAAAATTAGAAACAAGAGACTATTTCGCAACTTAACAAAATCACTGACACTCCTTCAAATGCTCTCATGTTTCTCTCTAATAGAACCCACATAGTGGCTAGTGGAGCAACATTCCAGACCCCCTGTTTTCTCTTCCTCCTCCTTAGAGCCCAACTAGGCAACACCTCCTTCACTGTACCTGACATCACCCATAGTATCCCAAACCATTTCAGGACAACAGACCACAACTGTGTAGCCACTTGGCAATGCAACAAAAGGTTATCTACATCTTCTCCCAAACATCTACACATGTAGTACCAACTAGACATGTTATTCTCCTCTTCCTCAAATTCTCTGTTGTCAGGATCACTTCCTTGGCTGTCAACCACACGAGGAGACATACCTTCCTTGGTGCCCTGGGAAGTGGGAGTTCATTTCCCAATGACTGGTGTGGAATTCCAATTCCTCTCTCACTGCGTGTTTTTAACATTTGAATCATTTGACATCCCCTGACAAATAAATATTGCTTTCATGGACCATGTCTACCTTTGTGTTAAAAGACCGCCAACTCTTTTCCCACTTCTGTAGACTTTCTTTCTACAACCGTGACTTTCACTAATAGAATAGTGAAATTAGAATAGGCTGAGAAAAGGGCTCCTTTTCATATATTTACTTATTCATTCTCGCCTATAAACATATTTCTAGAGCTCAAATTTTCATTCTGATGAATGGTAAATGTATTTCATTTAGGTATCGGATGCGATGGGGTCTGTTGCTCCCAACTAGAAAGCCACGCGACTGTGCTTGGAAGAAGCTTTACATCCAGGTATCCTTCTGTTCAAATGTTTGTTCCATTTGTCATTGGCTAAGCATTAAAACTGCACGAGTTAATTTCATGTTTAGTCACTAAAGTTTACTAATTATTAACATTAAAGTTACAAATTGTTTTTTGTTGCATTGAGTTAACTAAACTTTATCCCCTATAACAGTAAAGTAACAAAACTATCTTTTTTTGTCTCAAAGTAACTATATTTTACCTACTATAACTGTTAAGTCTCTAAACTTTTACCCACTATAACGACAAACTATGCTGCTCGGACTTTTCAAAAATGTTGTCGGGGCTCGGGTGTGTGTCAGAACTCAGATCCTCCAAAAATAGTGCATTATTGGAGGATTCGACATGGGTGCAGCAACATTTTTGGAGAGTCCAAGCAACATAGACGACAAAACTTCCCTACCAAGGTTAGTGACTCGATTATTATAGTGAGTAAAGCTTAGTTATTGTAATGTGACAAAAAATAGTTTGTTACTATACTACTATAGTAGATAAAGTTGAAGGATCATTTGAGAAATCACCACCTACATAAATTCTGGTTTACTTTTTTTGTTTTTTTTAAACTTATCTATAGTAAGCATATACTCATCCATTTAATCTATCAATTTGTGAGTAGTTCTAAGTTTGAGAGTAGAACTGAAAATTGAAAACAAACTTTCTTGGAGAGGGTTAATCGGTGACACATAATATAATAAGTTGTTAAAATTATGCTCTCTCAAACAATTTAAGTTCTTAGTTGAGATGGTCACACACTTCAACATGGTATTAGAGCTGGATCCATCCCTATTCTTGGTTTACGGAATATTGAGTTCCTAAGTTATATTTTTCATGCTCCAAATGTCTATTCCTGGAAGTACGATGGATGTTAAAATGTTCCACATTGATTGAGGGAATGTGCTATTGTCTCTTTATATAAACGTGGACAATCTTCACTTCATGAGCTAGCGTTGGGGTTAAATTAGATCCAAAATCCGTTTTATTTACATGATAACAGAGCAAGCAAGAGGTCCTATGTTCAAATTTCTGTGCCATTCCAAAAAGCTAAAATATATTCCACGTGTTTAACCCATGAAATAGTAATCAAGCCAAAATGTGAGGGGATATGTTGAGACGTAATATAACTAAGTTGATAAAACTGTGCTACTCGCTAAAGATTTAAGCTTTTAGATCAAATGATCACACGTTTCAAAACATTCCTAAATTGAATTGATCATTTTGTATACTTGAACGGGACAAGGTTAAAAGTTGGTCAATATTAGGCTTACTACTCTTTGACCAGCCATTTCTAGCTTAAGGAATGCAAAATTTGAAGCATAATGGATACAGATGGAAAATATTTCAAACTTTTGACCTGGAGAACACTTAGGTTTTGAAGGGACATGGTAAAAATATATAGGGGAAGTGCCAGGTGAACTGTCTTCTCATTTCTGTCAACGAGATACTTAAGTGATGCATTTGGAATGTTAATTTTGATTTCATTTTCTGTAGTGTGTATGTATTTTACCTAACACAGCAACATTAAAAATGTGCTTTATGATTTACTAATTTTATGTATCCTCAGATTTAATTTAATTTTGGTCGAATTGAATACTTCTACTGCAGCGTGATGCAGATGATATGATGGAGTTTGTCAGGAATACTCCTATGGAATTTAAGGAGTATTACATCCAAATGCAGGCAGCAAAAAGAAGCCAAGCTCCTCCTCCGTCTGAGGTAACTGAAGGTCTTCTCAAAGAACTTCATAGTACTGCATATGAATATAGACAATTCCAAATAAATTCATAATTTCACTTCTCTGATTTTTGGCTGTAAATTGTCCAGGAACCTTTCCTTTTTATTTCCTGAACAATGTTATTCCTTTTAGTTTTCTTTTTTACCGGGTGAAAACAAGAAATAAACAGCGAGAAAAATGATACTAACTAAAATAAACTGTTAAGACCCTTCATGTTTATTTCCCTTAGTTATGTGTCAAGATTTCTTATGAGTACTTACCTTTCTATGGCTTTAATGAACAGGTAAATGATGACCGAATAATTCTTGATAAGACAGTTGCTGATCAAGTCTCTACTTGGAAGAAAAGCAAAGGTCTGGGTGATAAAGTGGTGATTGATCATGTGTGCTCTGGGGAGACGTGCACTTACTATCAAATAGGAGATGTATATGTTTGTGAGAAAACTGGATATGTCCATGGTAAGAAATGGTTTGCTTCATTGCAACCTATTCATTAGATACGTACAATGAGAGTGATCTCAACCTACTGTTGCTTATGGGTTCTCTTTTTTGTGTGGTTGTGCAGTTTGTGATGACACATGTAGGGAAGCTGTATCTGATCCTATAAATGGTCTTCTGGTGTGTACCATTTCAGGCCACTGTTTTGATAGGATGTTGTCACCTTCCGAAATGGAACTAGATGGGGTAAGAAACAAGTCACTTGAGGATGCTATTTTTGAAAGAAACGAAATTTATGAGAGAAGGAAAATTCATGTTCCATAGCTGAAAGAGTTTGTTGGTTGTTCTAATGCAACTTGGAAGTTGGAACTACAGCAAAAGTAAAAGATAAACTTCAAAGGCTATGGTTTTCTGTTGTTTTGACACCTTTTGCATTGGTAAAATGTTCCCTGAATTTCCTGTCAAATCAGTAGTTGAAACTTGAAAGCACTGAAGCTTACTTGTTTGGTAATTGTGCTGGGTAAGCACACTATTAAAATACGGAAATTTGCTTATCTATTTACTGAAAATTTAAGAGCTGTTGCACTGATATGTTAACACTACTAGAATACAGCAGTTGTGAAAGATGGAACGAAAAGCAAGTCAACTGTCTCCTTGACTGTCTAAATTGCTCTCGATCTTCTTTTGTGATGTTTTAGGCTATATGTGAAGCTTGTTCATGCTTGATTTTGATTTGTGAGAATGTATGATGCATCTTGCAGCAGATTTTGGTTACTGTATCTTCTATTTGCACCTAGTGCCTGTATAATGCGTCCGTTGTAAGTATATCCTTGAATTGATAGTAGCATCTCCTATCTGTGATAATGAGCTTGCTACCAAGTGATAATACAGCTATAGATGTTAAAACTTGAATGTTTTGCATATTTAATGTATAATGTAGCATAGTTTTAGCTAATTTTAAGTTTATAACAGGAGCAGCAACAAGTTGGCACTACAGATGAAGCAGAGCCATTCATGGGATCGGGTCGTTTTGGTATATACCTTTTTATCAGTTTTGCTTTGTACCTTCTTGATAGCTCCTCTCCTGATATCTTTTTTCTGTTTCAGCTCGAGCTTATTTACTGGGATATAACTGTGACGATGAGAAAGAACTAGAAGATGCTTTGCGCTTTTGCTGATCCCCCACCGCTGATGGGTATAGTTAAGAAAAAACCTTTGGTTTCCAATAATGACATTCTAGCAGTCTTGTTTCAATCTTGTACTGTAATTGTAGATCTCTCTAAATTTATATTACAAAGTTTGTTTTTTCACTTAATATTTCTCTTGCATATGTGTTGTTATCTTTCTTTGGGTGCACATGATGGAGATATTCTCAAAACTACACTGGGTAGGAAAAAAACCATGTTTTGGGGGAGCTTGGATTGATCCTGGAGGGGAATAGAAACAAATAGGACTTAATGCATGGTAGGTACATTTGTTTTTGCTTTCTTTTATGCATATACAACTCTCTGAAAATGCCTGCGTGGAGTATTAGAGCGGACGGTTGAGATCATTGTCATGAGAAAGGGACAAGCAACATGGGGTTGTGGTGCAGTGGTGAAACTGTTTTATTCTTAAGCAGAGGTCTTGGGTTTACCTCTTGGGTTTGAGCCTTGAGTATGGAGAAAATTCTATTGGGAGCGTCACCTCCGAATGGGTTCTGCAATGCGCGATTTAAATTTAGTCGGGCTCCAAATATCGGGTGGAAAACAAAAAAAAAGTGATTGTTTGAGAAAATATAGGTAGAGTTTTTGATAGGTCATTGTTAGCGATCCATCATTTTTCCCTTTAAGTTGTTCAAGTCCAATTGAAGTGAGCAAGAGGTAGAAATGACACCAAGTAGCCACTTTTAGCACCCATATTTAGAACATACAAAAATTATTTAAAATTTGAGCAATGTTGAGATATAGGAAATGAAGAAATATCTACAAAAAGAAAAATCCAAATGTTGAGATAAACAAAAATGGTTATTTGAGTAATGACCCACCTTATCCATTGTTTATATTGAAGTTTGACTCCCTAAAGGCACGTGCATCTCAGAACCAAGTATACTAATTTCTCTTATAATGGATGACATTGACATTTTTTTCTAAAAGAAATGATTTTTTAATTCTTTATAAAAGAAAATCGAGTTTTATGTCTTTTTTATAAGAGATATATTTAGTTTTACATTTAAGAGATATGAAAAGATCTTTTTTTTTTCTATTCAAATTATAAAAGAGCAAAAAATCTCATTTCCTTTGTTTTCCACGCGGTCACAATATTTTATAATTCAATGTCTCCAATATTGATGAGAACTAAAAACAATTAAGTTATATATATGTTAGTAATTGTACGCAAACACTTTCTTAAATTATACTCCTCCATATTTACTCATTAATTAGGAGTATATGGTTTTGACTTTTGATGTTTGTGAACCAAGTCACCAACCAATAAATTACCTCAATATTCAATGATCACCCACCAAAGTCATTGGTTAATATGTTACTGGGCAACCACTCAATATATTAACCAAGAAAAAAACATATAAATACTTATCCACTACTTATATTGTGTTATTTTTTTTCTACCTTATCTTTCATTCTTCATTCCAAAATATTGCACTTCAACAATATAAGAGAACCTGTAAGAAATATAAGAATAACCCATATTTTCTGTACGTATATTGTTTTGCATAATGTTCCATTACTTTTTGAAATCAATAGGTTCTAATTTCTATACTCTTGTCAAAATTAGGTATTCGTGAAGAATGGGAGGCGGTAAAAACAAACAATTTGGTTATCCTCCAGGACAATATCCTCCTCAGCCAGGAGCTTACCCTCCACAAGGATGTCCTCCTCAAGGGTATCCACCCGCTCAAGGATATCCACCTGCACAAGGATACCCTCCGCAGCCAGTAGCTTACCCTCCACAAGGGTATCCTCCTGCACAAGGATATCCACTGACTGGAGCCTATCCTCCAGCACAAGGATATCCCCCAGCTGGAGCCTATCCTCCAGCACAAGGATATCCCCCTGCTGGTGGATACCCCCCACAAGGTTATCCCCCGGCTAGTGCATATCCTCCACAAGGTGGTGCATATCCCTCACAAGGATATCCTCCAACAGGTTACACTTCAAACAAATCAGGTATCAATCTTCATTAATTAAACTAATAATTAAGGATATAAAAAAACATGTTAATTACTCGTGGCATCTCACATGACATGTTTAGAGTTGTTATGCTTTATATATACGCACATGTTATATCTCTAACTTTTTGTGAGATCATATATATACTTTATTCAATATTAGATATGTACTTAGTTAAGTTATAGTAACAAATGAGCGATATTTGTATTATTATACACATACTATAGTAATTTTTGTATCGTACTAATTAAATAAGTCGTATACGTACATGACACATTTTTAGGGCATGGAAACATGGGATTGATGGCCGGAGGCATGGCTGCGGCCGCGGCTGCCTATGGTGCTGCAAGTTATGGACGCAGCGGAGGTCATTATGGTCATGGAAAATACAAACAGGGCAAGTATAAGGGTGGCAAGAAGTACGGCAAGAAATTTGGGAAGAAATTCAAGAAGTGGAAATAAGAATTTTGTGTATATTATCCTGATTTTTCACGTGCGGGATTATATTAGATACGATATTATTATTATTGTTGTGTATGCTATCCTGATTTTGCAATTTAGAATAGATATATTCTTGTACTCTCTTTTTGAATAATGAGTAGTAGACGTTTTATATGGTATTGATCTATATAATAGCGTTGGAGTTGGTGTGTTATGGTCCATATATAACTTATAGATAAGATTTTGAGATTTTGACTCATATTTCTTTTGAAATATTACAATTAGTAAAATACATTCAAAATGAGTTTGAATTATATGATTTCACTCCGTTTTTCATTATTTTAAAAGAATAAAATGTAATAATTATAAAATAAATTAATTGAGCTTATTTATTCTTTTCTAGAAGTTGGAATAAAGGGTGTCAGACAAAAAAAATAAAAATGCAACTAATTAAATAGAAGAATTCATTCGTCGTGCATGTTTTATTCTTTCATCTTTTTGTTTTCATATGGTATTTCAGGTAATGTTGGGCTAATTAATTCGAATTCATATTAGGTAAGATTTATTTGAAGCTAGTGTTTTTTATTAAGAATATTTTTAGATTTAGGATTTAAAATTAAAACCTTTAATTACGGAAAAAGTTATTTTATCAGTTGCTCCACATTTTTTGATAGTCGTTTTATTCTTCTTTTATATGAGAAAAAAAATAAATTCTGCGATTTTCTTAAAATTAAATATAAAAAAAAATATGGTTCATATCACACCCCGTTTGAATGGTTGTTAATTGTTGTAATATTGTATTTTAAGTTTAGATACCATGTTTGTTACTTAAATTTTACCATATTTGTATCATTTAAATCTATCGTCAAGTACGAAAGAAAAGTCTCATTTTATGTAACAATCAATTTAGTGAGACCGAGTAATTACTTTAATATTTTTAATTTATCTTTATTTAGTATTTAAAAATCTTATTTTATTATTTACCTACCTTTTTATAATAGCTCTACCTCGTATTCTACCTTTCTTATAGATTGACGTGCAATATTATGTAATGTAACCATTAAAATCGATATAATAATGTAGATTTTACACAAATTCCATAGTGTTAAGAGTTAATTACATCATATCCCTACTCCTTTCAAGTTACAAAAATTCTTTAAATTTGATGGAATCCGAATACATTCCAAAACGTTCCGGTACATCGCGTTCTGGTTTTGGATACATCCATCAACGTCCTGATACATCGCGTCTCATTTTCGGATACATCACGTAACCGATATATCGCGTAAAGTAACGTCTCGATATATCGCGTAAAGTAATATATCTGACTGATACATCACATAAAATATGAATTTTTTGTAATTTTTTCAAATAAGAGAAATTTCAGAGAATATAATAAAATAAGTTGTATATTTAGATAATTTTTCCTATAATATATAGTATATCCAAATATTATATTTATTAAAAGTAATAATAATATAACACTAGAGTAGTTGCTAAGATTTGTATATTTTGGCTTTTTCCTTATTGAAAGTAGCACACGTCATGTACGCGTTTAAGTAACGCGTGGAATCATTGAAATATCTCATTCACAAATAGCCCTTCAAATACCATTCAGAGACCATATCGTTTGTTAAACAAACGTTCGTTCAACTTCTCAAGGAGATAAATCTGTAAGAGCCCCTTCTCCTTTTACCCCATTGATGATACTTTTCTCTTGTTTGATGATTTGTTAAGCCATGCATGAATTATCTGAATTGCCCAGATGATGATCATCAGTCTGATAATTCAAGATCTGGTCTTTTGTAATTAAAAAATTGATCTTTTTGTACCCTTTTGATGTTTTTTAGATTTGGGTTTTTGTTAATGGGAAAATTAAAGGATTTTGGGTCTACCCTTTTGATTTTTGTTTCTATGACCACCTACTACAGATTAGATCAGCTTTTTTTTTAAAAAAAAAAACTGATTTTGGAAATTCAAGTTTGATTGTTTCTTCCCTTGTGACTTTTTTTGATTTGGGTTTTGATTAAATGGAAAAACAGAAGATTTGGTTTTTACCATTTTGATTTTTTTTTGTATGATCAATCATTTTGTGTTTTCTCTGTATTTTCTGTTTAGCTGATGAGTCATTGGGTTTTAAATTTTGGTTTTGTTGAATTGGAAAGAGAGACTATTAGTTCCCTTTTTTCTGTTTTTGGGTTGAGAATTGTCCTATTCTGGAACTGAATTTGGATGCTTTAGAAAATGAGGATTTTGTCCTCTTGCATGATTTTGCTGTAGAAGGGAATAGAGATCTGTTTTAATTGAGTTTTGTCTTTTTTCAAGGTGTATTATAAACAAATAGTCATGCAACTTAGATTCCAAAAAAAGAAAAAAATCATGAAAAAAGAATGGATATTTGGTTTTAGCTCCTTTTGTTTCATTAGATTTAGTCACTTTTCCTTCTTTATTATCCACCCCTCTAAAAAAGGCCTCTCCTTTTTCCTCAAAATGCAAGTTGTTTCCAACTTATCCAAAACAAAAAAAGAACTTTTGATGCTTCTAATCTTTGAGAGGTGAAGGTTTTTTTTTTTTCTTAGGGTGATCTGAAAACTTATTCAGGAATGGAGGCTAGGGTACTGCATAGAAATTTATAAAAATGTTTATGTCTACCCTCCTGTTTTTTTGCATTTTCACTTGCTCAGAACATATTAGCTGGCTTCCTGCAATTCTGTCTGCAGCTTGTTGTGTTAAAATTTAACACTTCTCCTACTTAACAATCAGCTTTATGTTGGTGTCCACCTTTCTTGTTTCTTGATGTGCACTATCTATATATGATGTACTACAAGTTCAATCAGTGGTTGCTTGATCATTAGTTGTGCACATAATTCTTCTTTGATTGATTGGATGTTTCAGAAAGCATATTTGAAGTTAAGAGTAGTAATTGATATCTTGTGGCTCATAATCTTTTATCATCTACGAATTTCATTTGATTTCATTCCTACTTAGTCATTGTTGTAATATGTCTGACAAGTATTTATCTGTTTTAGGTACTAGTGAAATATGGGAGGTGGTAAGGATGATTCTGATAAGGGACTCTTTAACAATATAATGGGAGGTATGGGTGGTCTTGCTGGTGGTCATCACGGACATCCAGGACAGTATCCTCCACAGCACGGTGGTTACCCTCCGCAGCAAGGGTATCCTCCTCAAGGGTACCCTCCACAACAAGGGTACCCTCCACAGCAAGGGTATCCACAACAGGGTTATCCTCCGCAAGGAGGATATCCACCTGCTGGATATCCTCCACAACAAGGATATCCTCCACAGGGATATCCTCCTGCAGGTCATCATGGTGCTCCACACCAGTCAGGTATTATTTCTTCCCAAGTTTCTTGGAAGTAACTTGTAAAGACTTCATTTAGTAATTTATAAGCTGTCGACAACCCCCGGACATCCCAATAAGATACTGTCTAATTGGTTGCACCCTTTTTGGATTTGTCTAGTTAAGTTTCTTTGATAGCAATGGTATCACTTGAACAACTAGATGCAGGAAAATAATGAACATTTATAATATGTTGCGACTTTTGTGACCAAGTACATCTTGACAATTTCCTCATTATTAATTTTTCGTGTTTGTTTGCTTGTTACTTTTCAGGAGGACATGGTGGCATGGGGGTAATGTTAGCTGGAGGTGCTGCAGCTGCAGCTGCTGCGTATGGCGCTCATAAGCTGTCACACGGTGGATCTCACATGGGAGGACATGGTGTGCCATTTGTTGGAGGCGGCAGTCATTATGGAGGTGGTCATTATGGAGGAGGCAAGTTTAAGCATGGCAAGGGAGGGAAATTCAAACATGGAAAGCATGGCAAGCATGGCAAGGGAGGGATGTTCGGAGGTAAATTCAAGAAGTGGAAGTAAACTAGTTATAGTATCGAAGACTTTCAGCTGGCTTTACAGTGTGCTAATGTTCTTCTCTTTAAATAAGACATACTACATGTTATTATGGCCTATAGGCCTGTAAGATGTTGTCTTGTTATATTGCATTTTCAAATATTAATTTGAGTGAGACTCTGCAGTTGAATTGCTCCATAGGGGCATATAAGCTTTCCTTATTTCTTCCCATCTTCTTCTGTATTCGCGCTCAATCGCTTCATTTCCTAGCTTTTTTGTACAGTATTGCAGTACTAACTCCATGATTGAAAAAGCTCCAGACCTTTTTTCAAGTCTTGTTATCAGTTTGTTTCTGCGTGAAGTTAATAAATTGTGAAGCTGAGTCGTTTGGGCTTGGGATTTTCAAATCGGATGTCTCAAGTTGGCAAGGGATTTGCCTTCTGGGTCGAGTTCGTCACACCGGACAAGTGGGAGTTACCTCTACAAAAGCATAAATAATTTTAGTGAGGAAGAGCTTTTTGGCCCATAATGGAGAACTTTTAGTGAGGAAGAATTTCTTTTAATTCTAATTCCCACTACAAAAGCATAAATAATTTAGGGGAATCTATGAAAATACATATGTTCTCTTTCTTTTAAAAAAAAACCTTATTCTGTTTTTATTTTTTAGGAAATAGTCTTCAAAAGCACAAAATGTCTTATCTATTGTTGCATAATATTTGACAAGATCCACAAAAATGTGTATAGACCTATATATCCATTTAATCTTTTATGAATTTTTATAATTTATAAGAAAATTGCTACGTATCCATCTTTCAAGTGATTATATAGAAAAATCTCGAGATTTTTATATTGGTCTAAATCACTTCAAAACAATTGCGGATTATTTATGATGAAGATAATGAGTTTCAAAAAAATTATTTGCAGCTCTTGCACATGGAATCATGTAGTATCAAACACGAGATAGATCTTCCAAACAATAAATAACTACATGATATATAGTTTCATCTAATATGTATTTTTTCTAGAATATTAAATTCATGTATCAAAATATGAACTATTTCATGTAAAATTTGGTTATTTGGTCTCAAATGCTTTGGCCCCAAGAATACTTGTTGGACAAGAAATATTATTGAATTTTTTCTTTAATTTATCAATAGGGACATTTTACTTGAAACTTTCAAACTCACATTAAAACA